GCGCAAGGCTCTGTCTCAAGAAAAAAAAATACAGATACCTCATATGTACTTTTTGGTAGTATAAAATGTTTCACAATATTTAAAAAATTTCTCAAGCTAAATTTATCTAAATCATTCACCCTCATTTATCCCTTTCCTTGGAAAGTAGAGGGTTTTGCAGCTGTTTAAAAAAATTTCTCATTCATTGACCTCCTAAGTGAATTACAGACCTTCATGAACCAGAGCTTCGACTCTGAAGCAAAAGTGAAAAGGAATGTGGGTGAACAGATACCTCCGCCAGTCCCCTTGGCTCACACTGCTGAGTTACGTTGGCACCCCATGGATTCTTACTTAGCGTGGAACTACCATACAGCGGAACTTGTGTTGTACCCATTTTTAGTAGTCTATACTAACCTGCATCACTGCCGGGACATTTGGGAGCTATTGTGGGCAAAGTGAAGTATATTTTGAAGACCAAAAAAGGCTGTGGCTAAGACGGGCAGCTTGGACCCCTGCTTCCTGGGACATCCACACAATTCCGGCCCAGTGGCACACACCGGGCAGGCCCTGGAGAAGGCACTGGGAGATGCAGCTGTGCCCTTGAGGAGCCAGTGCTCTGGCGGGGCTTTCCTAGTCTTCTCTTCGTCAAATCCCATTTTCCAGGGTTTTGCCACATTCTGTGTGCTGTCAGGACTGTGAGCAAGAAGTTTTTCTTTAAATTAACTCACTTTTGGGCGGGGCGTGGTGGCTGATGCCTGTAATTGGGAGGCCAAGGTGGGCAGATCACCTGAGTTCAAGAGTTCAAGACCAGCTTGGCCAATATGACGAAACCCCATCTCTACTAAAAACACAAAAATTAGCCGGGTGCGGTGGTGTACAACTGTAGTCCCAGCTACTTGGGAGGCTGAGGCAGGAGGATCGCTTGAACCAGGGAGGCAGAAGTTGCAGTGAGGTCGCACTGCACTCCAGCTTGGGTGACAGAGTGAGACTCCGTCTCAAAAAAAAAAAAAGAAATATATATATAAATTAATTAATTAACTCGCTTTTAAAAAACCTCAAAGACATTTATATTTTAAAAGAAACGTTTATACCACTCTTACAAATAAAAAAACAGGGCCATTGTGATTTAATATAAGGTAATCATAAAAAGCAAAAACAGGAAAATTAAACCATGCTATTAATTTATAGCTAGCTCCCATTGCCTGCTGATGGCTCCTAGCCTCAGGACAACTTTCTCTTTGTTAAAAAGATGAGGAGCCAAGAATTAGAGAGGTTTTAAGATCAGGCTCAATGTGATTGAATGCTCTGTCTTTGCATCTTGTACTATATAAAATTCTCCTATTTGTGTTTCACACTTCAGAAATCTTGATTGAATGAGTCATGATGGTGACAGATAAGCAGGAGGAAGTGAAGGTCATTTGCAGTAGGATGCATCTTCGTACTGTGCGGGTTTGCAAGGAGACATGTCTAAGGCACTCTCCCTGAGCTGTGCTTGTGCTCTTCAAGCTGGATCCAGAAGAAGAGGAGGAGGATCCTCCCCCACCACAACCCTTGAATGGATATGTGGGAAATCAAAACGCAGAGTCTAAGGCCAAATAGAGAGAAAGCTGATCATTGGAGAACAGAGTACTAAGCTCTTTAAGTACCTAGAGCAGGGGGTGGCTGGCGGGCTTAGCTTGGGTTTCCTCAGAAGCAGACCCAGATGCAGAGTTCGAGGACATGTAGTTTAAGAATGATCCCAGGAAGAATAGATGGGGAGTGACGGAGTACCCTAGGAAGGAGAGAAGCCATAAAGGGCCCCGCCACCGTCGGCAACTGGACCTTGGGCCCATGTAGATTCCTCCACTCAGGACTGGGGGAGCTGGAATATTGCAGCCCATGAGGAGTTCATTTCTGGGCATTTTCATCTGTCATTTGGGCAATTACAGTTGAATCTATGTGGCCTGGAGAAAGCCCTCAGGTCGTGAGATACAGACTCAGGTTGTCAGCAGCCAGCTCAGTCACAGTGAGGCCTCAAGGAGGGAGGCAGGAGACTGACGACTTCGGACACCCGTGTCTGCCAGATGCTTCAACATTTGCTATCCAATCAAATCCTCACCACAGCCATTCAAGATAGCTCTTTCCCCTTATTTACATGTAGAGGAAGAGGCACTGGGAATTACGTCATTCAACCCATACCGCCTGTCCTCTCCTACAGCCCTGCTCGTATCTTTCTAGTCTTCTCTTTTTATTTTTATTTATTTATTTTTTTGAGACAGTGTCTCACTCTGTCACCCAAGCTGAAATGCAGAGGTGCAATCATAGCTCACTGCAGCCTCGACCTCCTGGGCTCAAGCAATTCTCCTGCCTTAGCCTCCTGCAGAGCTGGGACTATGGGCATGTGCCACCATGCCCAACTATCTTGTTTAAGTATTGACTTACAAAGTGACAGCCACTAAATAACTGTTAAATAAATTAACCGATTAACAAGAAATGGTGGAGCGCTAGTTAAACACTGATATCATATCCTTTCTTTTCCACCAACTCTACTTTCCCCATTCTTAGAACAGGAATGTCCTTGAAAGTAACCAAGCTTGGAAGAAAACAGAAACAAGGGAGAAAACTATTTGGCTGATTTCCAGGATTCTGTCATGGACAATTGCTCTTCACACCCAGTTCTGGGTGGGAAACCAGCTTCTGGGCAGGGGAAGAAGGGACTCCCTGAGCAGGAGTTTAAATGACTAGAGAGCCTACTCTCACCAACACAAGCCTAGAGAAAAGATTGGCGGCTGATCTCTGCATAGCTTGGAACTACATGTAACCCTTTCAGAACAGCCCTCCCTTTATGATTGTAGATGGTCTTTATTTTGAAATAATTTCAGCAAGATCAAAAGGTTGCCTCAAGTCCTTTGTGGAAGAAAGGTCGTTGAATGAATGCATGAATGAATGGGTTAAGAGAAAAAATAAACATAGAGAAAAGTAAGGATGGAGCTGTGGCTGGCCCGCTATGGACAGCGAGAACACAGTGTGCTGTCACTTGTCCCCAGCCCTTTGGAGAGGACGCTAATGACTACAGGGCTAGGACACACACATAATCCAATTCCCAGTCACCATTTCTCACCACCCAGGACACACACCCAAAGAGGCTGAAAAGGACGTAAATGATTCTAATCCACTATGAAGAGTAAGTGATGGTCCACACTTCGAAGTACTGAAATAACTCAGGAAAAGTAAAAGCTTAGTTGCTGTCAGGTAAGCTCTCTGATGACAGTAGGAAGAGGGAGGGGCTGTGTACTTACACACCAGGAAGCATCTACCCAGAGCAATTTCAAAAGTAGAAATCATGTGAGTTTTAACATTGCACTAAAACCAGCACCTCCAGGTCAACTTGGAGACCTGGAGTCACTCATTCCCCTTTTGGGGCCTGTTGAGATCCCCCCTGCCCCAGTTGAGAGGTGTTTACAGTGGGGAAACTCCACCAGATGTCTGACACCAACTCAGGAAGTAGGAGCCTGAGTGAGTCCGTTCTCCCCCACAGGCCACAGCAAGTGGCTGAGAACTCACCCAAGGGCAGGATGGCACCATTGGTGGATCGTCTTTCTTCCCTGATGCTCTGGCCCTCTCTCTGGGCAGGCAGAGGGCAGGTGACAGCTAGTCCTGCTGCATGCTCATGCTTTCCTCTCCATGCAGCGGGAGGACTTGCTTCTAAAGGCAGCCGTAAGCATTTCCCTCCTGAGCAACCACACATATCGAATGTGAGTGGCGTATATATGCATGTGTCTCTCCTTCCGGTTGCTGTGAAGTCATGTTGTCTTGGTTCATTTCCTCTCTGTGCCTCTTGCTTTTTTCTCTGTCATACTTTCTGATTCGCTGAGGACGCTTTGTAGTTTAGGGACAGGTAAGAAAGTTTGTTCTAATCTGGCCTCTTTGTTATTTTTAGAAAGACAGATGATCTTTAAATTAGTATTGCAGTGAAGTTTGTCAAAATGTATTTTTCTAAGTGGCATAAGCTCCCTCCTAGGCTCCACTGAGGGAAAAGTTAGGTGTTTCCAAGCCAAGTGAATTGGGATCTTATGGTTTTATGGACTTAGTATGTTGCAAAGGGTTTCACCACTAGACACAAAACATTCTTTCATATGTCAGGTATTTATTGAACTTGTACACTGAAATAGACACCATGCTAGAGGCCAGGTGCTCAAAGAGTTTCCTGCTTACAATGTGGCATAGAAGCCTAGATATGTGCATGTGGAAGGGAATTTGAAAGTCCACACCCTTTGTCTTCTTCATTCTGTGCTTCTGAGTAGCACACAAGTGGCTCTGAGACAAGGCCCCCGGGTTGGAATTATGACTCTGCTCTTTAAACATTTCTGCCTTTCTGTGCCACAGCCTCCTCATCCGTAAAATGGGAGCAGTCGTAGGATTGTTGTGAGAATTAAGTGAATTGGTACATGTAAAGCACTCCAAGAGTGCGTGGCACAAATACAGTAAGCACAATGTAAGTGTTTGCTGTGATTGTTAGTAGCAACTTCGTATTATTATCAGCTGAGATCTTTGCTTTTTTCCTACCCTTCCTCATTTTCCACTCCTTGCTTGTGCCTAGCAAATGACTTGGGGACATAGAAGGTTGAGAGGAAAGAGAGGGAGAGATGGTTTGAATAATGGATGCTCCCCAAATGATCCTGTGGTGCCTGATGTTTCTGCTCTAACTTCTTCCTGCTCCACCATGAAGGGAAAGAAAGGGCTGCCCTTGGTCCCACCTGTCAGACTCAGCTCATGTTGTATGCTGCACTCTTGTAGCATCTCTTTTGTTGTTATTTTGTTTTGTTTTAATACTCTGTAAGACTTCTCTGAAATTCAGATCCAGGTCATTTATTTTTACATGTTTGAGCTGGTTCAAATCTTGCTAAAGAATATTCTGCTCATACAAAGATGCCACACTTAAACAAACAAAGCAATACACACTCAGCTCAGTACCATGTCTTATGAACCAGGTCTTATGAATAAATCAGTAACAAGAACATTGATATTAATAATCACACATATGCTGTACCTGTTAAGGGCAATTAACAATATTCATCAAGGTATGCTTTTATGTTTCCTTGCTCTCTCTCCTTACAAAACCATTCTTGAGTACATGCCATGTAGTCACATGGTTCCAGATCTGAGCTAGAATTCTTCTACTCTCAAGTGTTTATTTTACAGTACAGAATATTTATTATAAATTGATGGATGCAGAGAAGTCTGGATAGTACCTATTTTATTAAAATGTCCTTTTATGCATTTCTCATTATACCATATCAGGTAAGGAATTATTCTCTTCATTAGGCATTTAATTAGTATAAATTTAAATGTACAAACTTGAGAAAAAAGCTGACAATTTTATAGTATGATTTGACTATTAATGCCATCAAATTGTCTGCATAAGCCAGTGACACTCTAGAGATACTAAAAGTGCTAAGCTTGGGCTCCGTTTACATAAAATACTTGAGATGAACAACTTGATTATCCTGAACTCTATTCTTTCATCTACATCCTGTGGCTTCATTTCCCATTTTGAGATTCCTGGACCTCCCACTGCTGAGTTTTTCAGAACAGAAAGAGAACATGTCTTTCAGGGCAAACTAAGGAACTGAGACTTTGTCCAAAACCAGATCAGACTTATTTTAGAAACAGAAGTTAAATATTTTTCTAATTTGCAAAGATGTCGGTTTTCTATGTCTGTTTTCCTACTTAACAATGTTAGATTTTCTTCATCTTCTTCGTCTTTTTTGGTTTGCTTTCCTTTCTTTCTGGTTAGTAGCAGGTTATGCTGCATGCCAACATTTTGACAAACCACAGATGACTCTGGCAAAAAGCAAACAACTTTAATTTCTCTTCACTCTATCCAATGAACACGGGGCTTACATTTTCATCTTCATTTCAACGAGCTTCTTGGCTGCTTTAATTAGTTCCTTCATGCCATCTCAGTTAGCTGGAATCTTGGTTTGCCCCACAAAATGCTTTATAACTACCTGTGAAGCAGTGGCCAAACCCCAGGCAACTGTTTTGAATTTGTCATGGAGGTCTGGTCCAAGGAGCAGCTGTTGTATGGAGTGGAGGATGAGGGTGGGGGAAGGAAAAGCGAGGAGAATTTGAGAAGACTCAAAGGTTGAAAAATCTACAGGCAAAGCATGTGCGCATGTGTGTGCATAGGTGCGTCTGTGTGTGCGTGTGTGCACGTGTGTGTGCGTGCATGTGTGTGCATGTGTGTGCGTGTGTGCGTGTGTACGTGCACGTGTGTGTGCACACATGCACATGTGTGTATTTATGATTCCATTTGCTTGACTCACTCCCCTCCATGCTGGAAGACAGTATGAGCCACGGGGAATCAACTGCCCGCTGAGGAATTTAAATGAAAATGCTCAAGGGTTGGTCTGGCAAATTTTAAGAGCAAAGTTGTCTAGTATTATAATGGATGCCTCCTCCCTTCTTGGGAATGGGAGTCTGTCTTGTGGTTTTCATTTTTATATGAAGAAATCAGAGCTCAAAAAGATGCCGTTCATTTTTTCCCATTCGTTAACTATTGCCTACCTTCGAAGTCTCCTGAGATTTCCTGGGCATTTTCAGTACATCACTCCACAGGACACCCTCCAGAAACCTGTAGCTCAGTGGGAGATAAGCCAGCAAGATAACTGTTTCAGTTAATTAGTTCATTCATGATTTTAAAAGCATTATTTAACATGTGCTAAAATAAATTAAAAAGAAATGAGGATCAGTTTCTCCCCTAAAAGAGATGACAATCTGAATGGCATGGAAGAATGAGCCTTATTCACCTTCCCCTTCCGCTCTCTTGCCCTTATAAGCCTCCTTTTCTCTCTCCCCTAACAGGACACCTTTGTCTTTTGCTTCTCTGTTCTCCCAGTCCCTCAGCCAAGTCCTGGGCTCTCTAGCCTTCCTGAATTGCCAGAACTCCATGACTAGTAGCCATTTCACCCATGTGCATGATGTTGATTTCCTTGTTCTTGTTCTTCGGGATGTTCACCGTGCCCATGTCCATCCCTGGGGGGAAGGCCAGTCCACTTTCTCTCATGCACCAGAGCTACCCAGACCCACTGGGGAATGTTAATAAAGGCAACTTGTTTCCTTGCAAATTCTCCCCAATAACCTTAACTGAGGCCCTTCTGCTGCTCAAGAATTTTCCTTCTCATCTCCTGCTGTCTGTCAGGTCCCCTGTGGTATCCCTTCCAGACTTTTCTCATGCTCCAAAAGCTCTGAGCCTAGCCCTTGCCTCCTGTCATGCCTAGGGTAAGGTTTCCTGATGGGAGCTCTTTCAGGAAGCCTCGTGATCCCAGCAGTTTCCCCATTTCTTCCATACTGTTCCCCATTCTCTGCTCATTCTTCAATACTTTGAATTACAGCTTTGAGCACCACCACCCAATTAATAATGATAGTTATAGCTACCATTTTAAACTCATATCAGCAGGAGGCAAACAACATTGACAAAGATGAAACCATTCTTCTAATCACAGAACAGCTGTTTGAGGAAACACCTAGAACACACCTAGAAGAGCAAAAGGAAGAAAGACTCTGAACACTTTTAAAGACAGAAGTCAAGGCAAATTGAAAAGATTCTGACTTATTGGAAGCATTCACTGCATTTAGGAATCCAGCAAGCACGTATTTCTCCATGGTTTGCACCCTGTGTGCCTTCCCCTGCATTGGATGATAACCATCTTCGACTTCTCAAAAAATACTTGGTAAAACATTATTAGTGCTACTTTTTTATGATTTTAAAATAAACTTTAAAAATCTACAAGTAATAAATTTATCTTGTAAAGAACTAAAATTGCAGATAAAGTTCTCCAAAGTGTCTTTGCCCATCAGCCCTGGTTTTGGTTTCTCCCTTGCTTTGCCCACAGGGAACCTCCGCTATCTGTGTGAGGTACATTCTACTAAGACATTTCAGGCATTCATATAAATATACGTCACCACTGTCAATTTGCAGTTGTGCTCATGTGCGCCCTTGCCCTTGAGCGTGCATGTACGCACAAATAGAACCTGAGACTGAAACCATCATACTGTACTACCTCGGTTTCTGAGGGAACTGTATAAACTGCTGTTCTGGTTTCACATGAAATAGCAACTTGCAAACAACATCTTATTCACGAGACTATAAAAAACAAAACTGCATTGCTGCTTTAGATGGTCGAAGAGATGAGGCTCCTCGGTTTATCTGAAATTTGTCCATTTGTTTTCTAAATATATAAAAATGTGGGTTCACATCCAGCTGATTTACCTCTGGGTTGAGATTCCTGGGTCAAATACCAAAGGTCCATTTGCCATTTGATAAAGTGATTTTTGGGATTTTCCTTTTTGCCTTCACAATCACCTAGCCAAAATGTCAAGTCAAACCACACTTCTCCCCCGATACATACATAAAGCTGCCCCTGACAATGACCCCAGACACAGGGAGGGATGCCAAGTGCTACGATTATTTACATATGTTTTTTTCTCTGCAATGACTGATTGCTTACCTCTCCCTCTCCTTGGACATACTTCGCGATCCCACATTGAGGGTTAACGACGTTTTTTTTGTTGTTTGCTTGAGATGCAGTCTCACTCTTGTTGCCCAGGCTGGAGTGCAACGGCGTGATCTTGACTCACTGCAACCTCCACCTCCCGGGTTCAAGCAATTCTCCTGCCTCAGCCTCCAGAGTAACTGGGATTACAGGCGTGTGCCACCACATCCGGCTAATTTTGTATTTTCAGTAGAGACGGGGTTTCTCCATATTGGTCAGGCTGGTCTTGAACTCCCGACCTAAGGTGATCCACCCACCTCAGCCTCCCAAAGTGCTGCAATTAGAGGCGTAAGCCACCATACCTGGCCGAGGGTTAACTACTTTCTAAATTGAGAAATATTTTGTACTGATCTCTGGTAGTTAAAACTCCAGCACTCTGTTTGTTCCTTTAGTTTTTATACAATGCGTTTTCTCTAAGACAATAGAAATTTAAACTGGAAATCCAACTCTCTCTTCCTCTATTTTCACCACACCTTTTCATATCTTATAAACAAATGCCTATGTCCACATATTCCTGACAGCCCTAACTCAGTTCCTTGGTTCCATCTTCTTCTTTGCCTCTTTCTCTTCTTTATTTCATACTCAGTTGTCCTAAGATACTCGTCTACACTCCATACCTTCACTTCCACACTTTCCATTCCTTCCTTCCTCAGTGCATTCCTTCCATCCCGACATCTGGTCCATGCCCCCAGCTCGCCACTGAAATCTTCTTTGCTAAGGTCACCCTCAGGAAGTTGGATGATAAACCAGTAGACACTACAGTTTTTTCTCTGCTGCATTGAAAGTAGTTGACCACTTCTTTCCTCTAGACCCCTCTCTCTGACCCCTCTCTCCTTCTTTGGAGGATACCTTTTGCTTTGGTTCCCCTCTTCCTGGTTCAGTACACTCCGCTGCTTACTGCCATGATGATTTACCCATGGGGCACACAAATTTTCACTCTTATGCTTTCTGTGTGGGTAGGTTCATCTCATTTAAAAGAGGGGTCATCTCTTCCTGCACTACCATTTGTGTTAGTCCATTTACATTGCTATAAAGGAATACTTGAGACTGGTCATTTATAAAGAAAAGAGGTTTATTTGGCTCATTGTTCCGCAGGCTGTGCAAGACACATGGTGCCAGTGCTTCTGGGGAGGGCCTCAGGGAGCTTCCACTCACTGGAAGAGGAACAGAACCCTGCATGTGTGGAGATCACATGATGACAGAGGACACAAGAAAGGGCGGAAGTGCCAGGCTCTTTTTAACAACCAGCTTTTGTGGGAACTAGCAGCACAGACTCACCACCCTGTCAAGGAAAGACACTAATCTAATCCACACTAATGAAGGATCTGCACCCATGACCCAAACACCTTCAATTCAGCCCCACTTTCAACACTGAGGTCTGAATTTCAGCATGAGATCTGGGGGGACAAACATGAAAACTATAGCACCTTTCATGTCGTTACCATATTCTCAGTCTCTCTGCCCCAAAACCCTGCAAGCCTTTTCCCCCCTGCAACTTCAATCCAACCAGCCACCATATTCTGTGTTGTTGTTTTTTAAAAATTAACTCTGAAATCAAGTCTTGTTGA